TTTCTTCATCACTCCACTGAACCGCACGTGCATGTGCCTTGCACGAAGAGCACTGCCGCATGCTCGTAGGAGCTGGCACCTGCTTCCACCGCAGACGTCGCCTTGGAAATGGCGTCCAGATAGGTCTGGGCAGGGAATTGAGGTTAGGTATAAGCCTCCGCTTATGAGAATTACTGTTCAGTTGCGAATATGGAGCGCTGCTTGGGTGAGCAACTTGTGCACCGAAGCCGGTTGCAGAAAACAGGCTCGAAAGGGTATACCAGCAGCCTTATACAGAAACCAAAAGAACTAATAAAGTGATGACACGGTAGACGTGCTGCGTGCTTCCTTGTCCCCAAATCCTAGAGCAGTAGCGGCACCACGAATCTGCGCCACCCGACGAGCAGCTGGCGCGAACAGGTTCGCAGCCCTTTCAGCATTGACTTCGGGACCAGCTTCATTAGCTGGTGTACAAGCTTGAGCTTGAAAGTCAAGCCAAAGCTCCAACCATTGCCATGTGATGCTGGAGTCTGCGTCTGCTAGGTCCCATTTTAGGTTACGGAACCGCCGCCAATTGCCGGGCACAACTCCTGTGAAAAACGGTTTACACATCTGAATGCGTTCTGCTTCAAAATTCCACGGGTATGTTGGGAAAAGATCCATGACACAAGCACCAGCTGGGTTCAAACCCGCAAACTCAAGAACAGATTATTCTTCCTGCTCCTGTTTGCGCAGTGGCTCAGGCTCACCCGACAACGGCGGTCCAGTTCAGCCTGACCAAGTCTCTTACGCTCAGCTTCGCGTGCACTGAGGATTGTAATGAACACACGCTGCAAACTACATGCAAAGTCGCCTCTAGGGTCGGCATGCGTTACCAACACGAGGACGCGCTGGCGTGTGCACTCTGGAATTGTTGCTTCATAGAATTAGGGTACAACTTGCGAAAATGGGCACGAAGTCTTTCCCATGCCTTACAGTGCCAAAGCATATGCGTAACAGTCTCGGGTGAGGACTGACAGACGGCGGCAAGGACTTGATTTGCATTGATATAGGGGCAAGTAATGGTCTTTCAGGTGACTGAACTGCACCCACCACTGAGAAGCACTCTCCAGTGAGTGATCTCAAAGGCCGTGAGCACAGGTTTGAAACTCACCTTTCGTTTACCCTGTGTGAGGCGTTGAGTGCTTTTTCGCCGCAACAGCCTGGTGGTGGCCTCAAAGTCAACAGAAGCAGTGGTTCACAAACCTTGCATATCTTTACGATTAAGCAAGGACTTTTCTTATAAAACCATGTCACGAAGCGCCGGACGGATCAAATGTTTCCATTGACCGTCTGGCCCCTCAAGAAGGTCCAGGCACGAATCATCTCGGCAAGTGAACTTCCAGGGATGTTGCCACTGCCAGCCCAGCCAGCTGACGGACAGCTTTCCATAGGAGTGCGACAGGGCCAGAGCCTTTGCCCTGCCTGTTCTTGACTGCAGGCTGCCTCAAAAGGTTCCCTGAGGTTACCTTGGCGCGCGGCGGAGATCCCGCATAATCTGCAGCACAGTGCCACCTACCTATCACGATGCAAAACGCACCCGCGATCTGCTCACGTGGACACGATCCATCTGCTGCAGAGGCCTCGTCAAAAGACGAGTTTGATCACCTTGAAGGCCGTACACATGGCAGCGGCGGCTGATCCCCACCCGCTTTGGGGGGGAACTCCGCCCCAGGCATTTTGCCACCACCCCATCACTTTGGCCGCATGTCCGTATTCTGCTGGTGGGTGTCCACGCGCCTATTTGCGCAGTCCAAAAACTGCTGGCTGTGGAGTTTCTCTTTGAGAAGTGAAAAGTCAACCACCGCTTGGCACCTTTCCTTATCATGCGAGCGGCCGTTCCGCACGATGTTGTGACCAAGAAACGTTTTCCTTCGGTGACGCACACGTCGGCATTGTCATCGCCGAAGGAGAAGCCGAACAGACGGACTTGTCCAAAAACGCCTCTAAAGAGACCAAATGGTCTGTCAGGTGAAGGCAGGCTCCGGATGGGGACCACGCAGGTCTGCCCCAGCATATCATAGTAGTAGTCTGCGGCAGGTTTTCCCATCATCTTCTCTAGTCCCAATCCTTTTTTTGATTCCACGCTATGACAGTTGCGGCTGATTGACGTGTCAACCACGTACGGGGAACGTTCTGGCGAAGCCAGCTCGTGGCCGGAAGCAATTCGAGTACCACCCTAGCACCGCGCACATCTGACACCTCGAGTAGCACGCTGGCCCCACGAAACCACATGAACAATCTCGAGCACCACGCTGGCCATACGAAATCACATGAGACATCTCGAGTACCACACTGGCCACACGAAACCGCATGAAACATCTCGAGCACCACGCTGGCCACACGAAACCATATGAAACTCAAGTACCAAGGCTGGCCACACAAAACCACACATGAAGCATCTCGAGCACCACGCTGGCAACACGAAACCAAATGAACATGTCGAGTACCGCGCTGGCCACAGGAAACCACATGACACATCTCGTCTACCACGCTGGCCACACGAAACCGCATGAAACATCTCGAGCCGGCCACACGAAACCAGATGAAACATCTCGAGTACCACACTGGCCACACGAAACCACATAAACGTCTCCTACCATGCTCGCCACACGAAACCGCATGTAACATCTCGAATACCATGCTGGCCACGCGAAACCACAAGAAACATCTCGAGTACCACAAAAGCCACACGAAAACATATGAAACATCTCGATTACCACGCTGGCCACACGAATCCGTTTGAAACATCTCGATTACCACGCTGGCCACACGAAACCACATGAAACATTTCGAACATGGCCACAGGAAACGGCATGAAACCTCGAGTACCAAGCTGTCCACACCAAAGCACATGAACCATCTCGAGTACTCGGCTGGCCACACGAAACCACATGAAACATCTTTTAGTACCACGCTGCAACGTCTCGAATACCACGAAACCACCGCTGCAGAACTGCTGCAGAAAGCGCCGAGAACCTGTGCCGGAACCACTCCCGAACCCACTCCGGAACCTGCTCCGGAACCCGCTCCGGAACCCGCTGCGGAACTTTCCGGAACCGGAACCTGCTCCAGAACATGCTCCGGAACCCGCTCCGGAACCTGCTGCGGAACCCACTCCGGAACGCGCTGCACTCCGGAACCTGCTGGAACCCGCTCCGGGACCCGCTCCGGAACCCGCTCCGGAATCCGGAACCGCTCCGCAACCCGCTCCGGAACCCGCTGCGGAACCGGCTCCGTCTGGAACCCACTCCGGAACCCGCTCCGGAACCCGCTCTAGAACCCGCTCCGGAACCCGCTCCAAAAACTGCTCCGGAACCCGTTCTGACCCGCTCCGGAACCCGCTCCGGAAACTGCTCCGGAACCGTTCTGGATGCTCCAAAACCCAAGGGCTGAAGACCCCATCGCTTCGCTGTTGGGGAAAAATATTTATGTTCATATTGGAAATGCACTCGTATTAAAAGATAATACTAATTTTCGTACCAATATTGATTTTGATCCATATGATTTGAAATACTCTTACGAATACTAATACTTTCAGTAATACCGATATAGTACGAATACTGATGTTCTTACGAATATTAACAAACATATTCATCTTCATCGTAATATTATATATAGTACTAATACAAATATACACACACATGATGATATGAATTCTAATACTACTATGAATATAAGAAATAATGTTCCTCCGGATATTAATGCTCATATTCTTATTCATTATTCTCAGTATTTATATTAATACAAAAAACCTGTACTAATATGCATACTAGTACTACCACTTGATGCTCCAGCTAATACGATTATGCATAGTGCTAACAGCAATTATACTGGTCTTGATACCAAAAAAATGCTCCTACGAATACTAATAATCACGTTCGAACCAAATCTTCCTATCAAGCATGCTTCGCGCTGTATTGGCTCTAAGGCTCAGAGAACCAAAAATCCAAAACTTTTGGGGCAACCTCGCAACTTGTGGATTTTTGGTGTTTTCCAGGGCTTTCTTTTTGGTTTTCCAACAGAAATTTAAAAAAAAACACAAGGTTTCACCAGAAACCCAGCCAACCAAAAAAACAAAAAACACGTGTGTTTTGTGGTTATCCAGCCACAAATCCGGAGAAAAAAAAAAAACCTGGTTTCGTTAAGGCGGAACCAAAAACACAAAAAGCAACCTAGGAAAAACAAAAAATCCAAAAGTTTCGGGCGCTTCACACAGGCTTTGGATTCTTGGTTTTTGGTTTCCGCGGAATCACGACAAATCCAAAAATCCAAAACCTTCAGGGCAACCTCAGAACTTTTGGATTTGTTGGTTTTCCTAGG